GCGACAGTCTTTTTTCAAATATTGTGCATGCAGGACACCACCTTCCTCCTCCACAGCTCCCTCAGTAGAAACACCTCCTCCCGCCTCGTTACTCTAGAAATCATGTTTGTTTACGTCCAGTGCGCGTTCAGAATTACTGTTGAAATGACCTGTCGAGATGTAATTTAGCGACTGACGCGTCAGTTTTTAGACCCTTTGTCTGCTTCAGTCGCGCCATCGCTGGAAGGAATCTCAAAGAATCACCTCCGTTTGTCTTTGCTCCTTTTCCCTTTCTCTTCTTCTTTCAGCGACCTCAAAAACGGACTTTCTTTTGCGGCAAACTGGTCGTGGATTCTCGTCTGCAGTCACAACAAACTTTGTGTGAATTGTGAGGAAGCGACAGTTTGAAAAAGCCTCTAAGAACCGCTGCATAAACCACATAATCCCTGCGCACCGGCGAGTTAGTTTCACTAGAAACATAGGGAGTTTGATTGACAACCTAACAGCCAATAGATAAAGAGGGAGCCTCGTTATCTATTGGCTGATGTTTATCTGGCCTCACTACGTCCACAGTTGATAAATTTTCATTGTTTTTTTTTTTTTGGTCATCATAATTACAAGGCTGCTGCATCTCTGTAATGGTATTTTAAACTTTCATTGACAATTTGAAACAAACAAAAAAAAATCCTCCATACAACCTTTAAAGGCTCAACGAGGATATAACCGAACCGTTATCATGGACCCGATACCCAATACAGCTAAATTTTCTGGGTTGGCTCTGATATTCAATACCAGTAACTGTATCTGTATCTGTCTTTTTTTTTTTTATCAGTTTTTATATGAGCCATTTGGTCTGTAATAGTAACTTCACTAATGGGCTCGTGACTCTCTCTTCTCTCCTTTGGCCTTTCATGTGAGTTCAGCCGCTGCCCCCTCTGCACAGACCGTGGACAAGTTATGCTCTTCAATAACCTTTTATAGACGCGGGACACTGGAGGCGCTTTGGAAATGAAGCGATGAGCCCTGAGTGTCCAGAAGTGAACTGTCATCATTTTGGACTTTGAAGGGGAGACGAATGGGCCATCAGCTTCAGTAACACGACGGAGCTGACTGGCTTTTGGCAAACGACAAACAAGCACATCAGATAAAATTCAATGAAAATGTACGCAACATCAGATAGTGTTAAGGTCACACAGTATATTACACAAAAGTGACTCTTTTGAGCTTTAAACCATGTTATAATGTTCTTGAATGTTTTGTTTCATTCACACATCTGAGTAATCCTTTTAGCTTTAGTTCAGTAGTGTTTGGCAATTTCAAGGCTGAAATGATCCAAATGATTCTAGTGTATGGAGTTTAAAAACACAGTGGAGCACTTCCTGTATTGCCACATGACATGACAAGGTGGAACAGAGAGTGAACAGAGAAGAACTCGGTCTAAAAAATATGTAGGATTTGTGTGTTAAATATATGTGAATGAAACAAAACACAGCTCCAGATATGTTTTTGATGAGGAAACAATATTACAACATAGATTACAAAATAGCGTAATATGGGCTCTTTAAAGACACAGTGTGGTTACATTCAGACTGCAGCCTCAAGTGAACCAAGTCTGATGTTTTGCCCCCAATGCAACCTGTATCTCATCTTTTAATGACAGTCTGAATGATACAGATCCGATTTTTTTCAAATATGACCCAAGCCGATACATAGCCGATCTTCTGACATGCAACTGAACTCAGTCTGAACGGCCAGGTCACATTCATCCCATCTACACGTCAGGCTCAGAGTCTAGTCAATGGAGGGAAAGTGAGGTTAGAGAGTTTATTAATATTTGGGGGATCGCTGTTTTCAGGCCAAATTGGAGAGGTCTTATCAGAACCAGGTGGTTTTTGAAATGATTGCCAAAGAAATGTCCAAGCGCGGCTACAGACGGTCCTGCCACCAATGTCAACAAAAAATACAGAGCCTGCGAGCCACATACACACAGGCGAAAGTCTCAAACAAACGAAGCGGCCATGGGCATGTAACCTGTCCATTTGACCAAGAACTGGACTGTATTTTGGGAGACAAGCCCAGCGTTTAGGATTCTTCTTCTGTAAACACTGAGCACACTGGCTGTGTGTGACGTCGTGTCCTCCAGTGCACATGCGGGACACTTTTGGGTCGTTTAAATTTCACACTGGAGATCACATACAGGTCACATTTTATTGGAAATGTGAACAACCAACAAAAAAATAATAATAATAATGTTTAAAAAAAAAAAATCCAAATTAAGCCCTTCTAACAAAGTAGTGCTTTCAGTTAACATTGGAGCAGATGATATCAACTTTGTGTATGGGGGTGTAATGTTAGCCAGGCTGGCACCACCTAGTGCCTCCGCTCAATTTCATTTATCTGAAGCGACTATGTCAGGAATCTGAACACACTAGACTGTTTGCAAGAACTCTGGAAGTTGTAGACCGCGCACTGGCCAATCAGCGAACCAACCCGAGTTGTGGTAGCAGACTGCATACACTCTCCTCCTTTAGACTTCCTTTCAAATACAAACTCTGCATTTTTTATTGGACCTTTAATTCGCAAGTTCATCTCACAGAAACGACAATGATCTTTGACAGTCATGTTCACTCTCTGCTTTACTGTTGTGCCGGCAATTACTTGGACACCACTGAGCATTCCGGTGCATTACATACATCACGACCAAATAGCAGCGATTGGTTAAACAAAAAAAGTACCTGCCTACTGCCAAGCGAAAGAATTCTAAAGCTGCAAGGTCAGATGCTTTCCAAGAAGTGAAAACGGCTGATGAAGTATTAGTTTCCATAGAATTACTGCCACTTCCAGAAACGTATATACTGTTCCTTCAAATGTAAAGTATGAGTTGTTTTTGGTAATACTTGGAAATTTTGTTTGTGTTTACAATAATTCCCACTGGAGCTGTCGTATGCTGCATCCACTATTCTTCTGGCCATTTATAACACACTAAAAAGGCCATTTTTAAACCTCTGTAGTTATTTAAAGATGTGCATTTTTAGCTTTTAGATCATTTTCATCTTTATATTATTCTGAGATCTACTTGTTTCGTCTGCAGGGGGCGCTGTCGGTCCTACGTTACGATCACTTCAATCCGAAAGCAGTTGTTGACAGTGGTTGAGTCCTTTTCGGTTTGTTTTGCAGTAAAAATTGACGCAGGGTCTTTTCAGCACGTGCACTCACTCCAGACCTGAGTGAATCAATAGGCCCACGTAAAACTGAATCGACCGCAGATGTCACAAACTCATTGAGATTTTAGATATTGTGAAAGCATCGTTGCAAGTACTGAGCAGTATCGAACCAGCAGCACTGCCTCGGTCTTTATAAAGAGCAGGGTTTAATTACGAGAGAAAAAAATATGACAAGTATTATTTAAACTGTGAGTTAATTTGAATAAAGGTGCAGTATTTAACGTTTGGGTTGGGGGTCCGTCACCTGCTTCTTTCTATGGATATGTCATTACTCTGCCTGAAATGTTACACAGTATGACATTAAGCAGCTCTACCTCAATTACAAATGGATTAAAAAAAATAAAAAATAGAAAAACAGACATTCTGATTGTAAGCGCGTCGCCTCCACAAATTTTGCCAAGTTAAGATGTCTTGAAATAACAAAGTTTGACCGTGATTTCAGTAAATTTCACTCAAGAAGTAAAATTATCTGCCAATGGAACAAGAGTTTTTGTACTTATGAATATGAAAATACATCTTGCTGCACTTAAGATAAGAAAAACAGCAACTCTTTGCACTTAAAATAAGAAACAAACTCAAATGTTGCTTAAATTAAGAAAAAAAACACACTTACAGTCGTGCCTTGCTATAACGCAGTTCACCTTTTGTGGTCTTTCTTCTGCTCAGTAAATAAAGTCTGTGAAGTGGTGACAGTCGAGTCACGTCTATGAATTCGTATTCGTACTGAAGAAAGCGTAACTTCATTTCATTTCGTGATTGTAATTCTGGAAGTCGTAACTTTTCAATTCACTCCCAGGTAACAGGTGGAATGCTAACGGGTGGGTGCGGGTTTAACTTTGATATAATATAATAATCACAGGTTAATTAGGGTGACCATATGTCTGTTTGTGAAAACCCGGACAACTTACCCGGGCTGGGGGGAGGTGGGGCCTTGACACCGAGCTACTCTCACCTCGCAAACTGCATGTTGGAGGCTGACCGACTGTTTGTGTCTGCTCGCTCCTTCCGAGTGCACAGAGAGCTACGAGAGCCGCTCAAGTTAATAGCCCAATGAAAGATAATAAAAAACCCAACAGCCAGGACAGGATGCAAAAAACGGACATTTGGTGACCCTAGGGATAACGGGCGGGTGTGGTGCTTCACTGTGCGGGTGCGAGCGGGTACAGGTCTCCAAAAATGGACCCGTGCAGGGCTCTGCAGTATAGGGCTCAATTACGGAAAAAAAAAAAGAAAAGAAAAAGGTAAATAAAAGGAAAATAACGTAAGGATGACAACAGCAATAAGTTTTAAAAAGGATGCAAAAAGGGTTGTAACTGTCCTGTCTGAGAAAAGTGTATAAAGTGTGTGGTGAGGGGTTTAACGGACTTAAAACAGATATAAACAATGTAAAATATAAAGCTGACTACTTCGCGGATCTCACCTATTACCTTTAGAACGTAACCCCCACGATAAACGACCACTGTATTCCACTGGAACATTTTTACCTTTCAACTTGAATCGACTCAAATAAAGTAAAATGTTCTTAATTTAAGTCGTTTTAACTTACCTAGATATTGATTTTTGCAGTGTAACTTGGTCTGGTTTGGCTTCCATGAAGATAGAAAGGTTTAATACTGTGATGGACCCCCCACCAGAAAAGTTGAAGCCTTAAAGGTCACAAGTGTCAATTTAGTGTAAGAAAGGACCTTTAAAAAGTTACTCAAGTTAACTGAACACTATCTCTGGACCTCTGCACCATCAGCCGACATTTAACGGAACCACTAAAGGTTTACATCTCTAGTGTGATGAGGACTTTACCTGAGTCCGTACAGCACCGTTCCGTCTGGGTGCAGGCGGATCATCCTGTTCTTCACCGTCACTCCGTGCACAAAGGACTTCTTGTCATTGAGGAAGTACGTGTCTGGGACCCAGAGCTGGTCGGCCACGCGGTTATCCAGAGTCAGGTTCAGGGGGATCTCCGAGTAGGACAGCCGCTTGTCCCTCCACGCCTGCTGGAAGTACATGGTCAGCGTGTAGTCCTGGAGGGAGCAGAGGAAGAGAGCAAAAGTTACCCAAAAGGCAAGAATTCTGTCAAAATAAATGCTCTTCACATTGTGCATTGTTTAGTAAAAGCTGCTGTTAGGGAAAATAAGTGTGATAATGAATCTTAGAGTTGTACAGAGTTTATTCACTATCAGTCCAAACCCCGGTGAACTTGAATACTCCACACTACACGTTAGTACTGGTTATTCAAGCCTGATTATTAGTGATGGGCAAATGAGACGGAGCTCCGGAGCACGTCTCGTTCTTCCTGAAACAAATTGCTCCAAAGCACTGCCTCGGAGCTCGTCTCGCAGCAGCCGCTCACGTGACCGAAGTGTCGATGTGTGGGTCCCTCCCCCTACTGTTTCGCTCTGCGTGTCGATCGCTTCAGTGTATCGAAGCGTTTCATTGGCTCAGGGAATGTTCCGCTCTGCGATTGGTTCAGAGCGCTTCAGAGTGTTCAGCGCACTTCCGTGATTTGACAAGCGCTAAACTTCTACAGTATAAAAGATGCACCAATATTTCTTAAAAATGTTGGGTAGTGAGGAGTATTGTGTGACGTTCGTGGTGATTTTGGCGACTTTTGGCATTTGTTTCATTTTCGATGGCATCTACAAGTGGGAAAAACCGATCCATGGTTTGGGATCACTTTGATTTAATTCCACCGAACAAGGTAACACCTATTTTCTTATTTACAGCTATTTATGTTGCTCTTTACATATTATTTTAAATCATCATTATTATTGTTGTTGTTAGGTACGGTGTCGCTCTGCACTAACAACACTTCATCGATGCTGAGACGCCTGCGTGCCAATGGTTAAATTTGTCCACTAGAGGTCAGTGTTTCTCCGAGGCCTCAGACACGTCGAACCATTTGAGACAATATTGCGACTGAGGTGTCAATGCTTCACGAGGCTCCATTCGCCCATCACTACTGGTTATGCTTCCACACAAGGAGGTTTAAATAGCACCTAAGAAGGACAGTTTAGAGACATGCTGGCTGAGAAAAGGAAACTGATGATGTTAAAGAAGGACAAATTCTGTAATAGTTGAATGACGCCAGAACTAACCACAGAGAAATGCAGAAAACACTGAAGTTACAAATGGAGGTGTCCTTGCTAAGATGATGAAGAGGATGCAAAATTTCACAACAGCAAAATAAGAAAACAATCTGAAGCTGTTACTCAAAATTAGACTTTAATCTGATTTTTACTTTAATGCAAAACTGACCAGAAAGAGCCAACTTGGATGGATTTTGTTTGAGTTTTCAGACCACCTTAACACATTATTCAAGCCAGTGTTTGCTAATGTCTGCATTGTGTCGCCATGGTAACTGCTGAACATGTAGAACACCCCAGCGTGATATCACTGCAAAGTATCAATAATATCAGTATCAGTCAGTCAATAATATTGTTGTGACTACGACAGAATGTACAGACAGGTGGGGATGGGAAAAGATTTCGGGAGACAAAGTTGCCACACGATTGTGCGCACGTGCTGAAAATGATCTTCTAAGACCCGACCATGTTTTTTGCATGTTTTTACATTTGGACTGAACTAAAAATAGGTTCTGGAAGTTACATTTCTTGAGAAGCTGTAGTTACAAAAAGCAGTGCTATAATAAGAGCAAAAAATGAAATGCCAAGGCCAAAGTTGTGAACTGAACCGCACAATGTATTTATACATCTCAGCCTCAGTCCTGGTCTGGTCCTGGTCTCAGTCCCAGTTTCAGTCCTGGTTTAGATCTGGTTTAGATGTGGTTTAGTCCTGGTTGAGTCCTGGGATCAGTCTATATGCGGCGCTAAAGTCCAGCATCGCAGTTTAAGTCACGGAAACTGATAATGTCGTTATAACTGAAAAAATGAATCGTTATCCCTTTTTTCGTTTTGGTTTTGGAGACAAATAATGAAGAAAATTGTTGTTTTTTCATTTTCTTATTCTTAGTTTTATTTTGGAAAATGAATGAACGAATGATACACAGATTCAAAAATCCACCTTGCATGCGAGCAAAGAGAAAACAACTTCGAAAGAGCAGAAATGAATCTCGCGCAAGCAGAAATCAAATTCAGGAGAGCTCGTTGTCTTTTCCAGTGATTGTTTCGCGAGCAGGTCACAGATTTCTCCTTGCGCGCAGAGATAATTTGCTCACTTGCAGTTAATATCTACATGTGTGAAATAATATAATACGCACGAATGTATCATGCGTGTGTATTATGGGACTATTTTGACGCCATAGTCCCAACCTTAAATGGCCCATCTCATGCAAAATAACTCTTTTCACATTGTATCTTCTGCACATATACAAGCACAATATGGGTTTTGGAACATCCGTTACACAATAGTTCTGAAATCGGGTGAAAAGTGCGTTCTGCCACGTCAAACGTGTCATAGGTGTAGCTGAGCGTGTCATTGTTGTAGTAGATTTAGTTTGTTGTCACGTGGGAAGGTGGCAGAAATACTCTGCAAAAAAAATACCAAATCAATCTAAAAAACACTTCGGCCACATATACAAGGCCCACACATCACTCTTAGAAGGTAGAAAGCTCTGAAAAGTTGATTTTGCATGAGATGGGTCCTTTAATGACAGGATCACCTTCTTTCGTCCAATCAGGCAAATAGTTACTAAGAATCATGGGAAACCAACTGCCAGACACAATCCCAGACACTTAATCCTGTGTCGTGGTGCCGTATCACCGTAGCAGAAAAAAACTTAGTGACTTAGTGGGGCTAAAAGTTCTGAAACTAAAACAAAAGTATTGTAATTGCAAGTTGGTGTTTGGAGACATCTAAACCACAGATTATTTCTATAAAAAACACAATATTTTGTTCTTTGCACTAACTCAAACTGCGATTCTGATTCGATTTTGATGCATCGTACAACCTTAAGTACTGTAGTTGTAGTAAAATTTGTGGTAGTAGTAGTACTGTTACTGACTTTTTAATCATAGCGCATGAATAATGGTCCGGTTTTTAGGAGCAGACAGAGAGGAAAACGAAGCGACATTCCCCACAAAGCTGCTATTTTTGGTTGTGAACTTTAAGACTAGACAAGCCTTCAATATTAGATGAAGTTCACTTGAAAGCAAATGGGACATACTCTCAAAGTACAAAGCAACTGGGGATTCCTTGTTCGTAGAAACACGAGGTTAGTACAAAGTGTGGAGGAACGTGCTGGAAAAGGGACAAAATGAAGGGACAGATGGCGCGCTGAAAGAATGGCATCTCAGGACGGGTGATGTATGGTTATGGGCGTAGATTGGACCGGGTTTTCGTTCATGTTCGTGCGCAGAGGAGACAAGGAGAAGCCACATGCTCCTCACAAATGAAAATATCCGCCGGGCATTTTACAAAATCTGTCTCAGAAACTCGCACCGATCTGCTCTATTTGCTTTGACAGTGTTCGGCGGATTAGATTTGGGATTGGACTCACATGTACTATATTCTAAATGGGCTGAGTCGTAGCGCACTTTTCCACCTCCATACAAGCACTCAAGGGATTTTCCATTTAAATTCACGATCCGGCTCAGTCATTCAAACACTAGACTTGTAGAGTGGATAGACCAGTGACACAAAAGCAGGACAAGTTTCATGAAATAGTCTCCACCACCAGTGTTGGGAGTAATGTATTATAAAAGTAATGTATTACAGTAATGCGTTGATTTTTGCTGTAACGCAGTAATGTAAGGCATTACAGGGGGAAAAATTGTAATATTTTACTCGGTACAAATGTGAGTAACGCGCGTTACAATGCTTTTTTAACCTGGATTGAAGTGGTGGGTTTTTCTTCATAGAAATTCGCTAAAATCACCGTGAAATCAGCAGCGGTGAAACGCCGGATGAGACCGCGGTTACGCTGTTTAGACCTGGTTTAGACCTGGGTTTAGACCTGGTCTTCCTTTTTGGTTACCTCGCTCTATTTTTAACGCGATTCACTTTTTTTTGTGCATTTTTTGCAATTTTGCATGCCTTTTGTTTTTAGTGTATGAACACGTATTGCGTTCCTCCCGCTGTGTCCTGATCGGCTAAGGGACTCCTGTCTCCTGAACAGTACAGTACAGAATATGTTCAGCTGCCAAATTTAAATAAATGTTCAATCTGTAGCAGTGTGCTTCTGAAGTGCTGTATGTCTGCAAGTTTTCTCTCCGACAAAATCCACAACGTCGACGAAACGTTCTGCACCGACAAAGGCTCCTGCGCTCACACCCAAAAGACAGAGGACGATGCAAACCATCACACAAAAAGTTGGACTTCTGGACACGTTGAAGGAAGGTAGAAGTTACGCGCTGTAGCAGAGTTTTGCACCGGGTCTTGTACCCGCAAATAGTTGCTGAAATCAGGACCGTGAGCCCGAGCAGCAGAGGTCCATAAAGAGCGATCGGGCGACAGCCGCTCTTACCTCCATGAGGTGCGGAGCAAAGCCGGTCCTTTCTCCTGCGGTCACCTTCGAGCCCGTCCTGACAGTGAGTCCTGTTTTAGTCCTAGTTCAGTTCTGGTTTAGTCCTCCTCTTCAGTCCTGGAATCAGTCTGAGGTTAGTCCTGTTATAGTCCTGGTTTAGTCCTGGTTCAGCTCTGGTTTAGTCCTGGTTTAGACCTTGTTTAGTCCTGGTTCAGTCCATATACGGCTCAAAAGTTCAGCTTTTTCGCAGTTATTTTGGTGAGAGTAACTTAAAGTAATGCAATAGTAATGTAATGCCTTACATTTTAAATGCAGTAATATTGTAATGTAACGAATTACTTTGAAATGACAGTAATAAGTAATAAATAACGCATTACAGTTTTAAAGTAACTTGCCCAACAGTGTCCACCACACAGCAACGCCAATGAAATCATGTAAAAGATCACCTCATAAAAATGTCTTAAAGAACACTGTGCTTATGACACCTGTGGATTATTATTATGACAACAAAGAGTCGGCACCTCCGATGGAAACTGCAGATCAAGCAAGCGAGTAGTCATTTTTTAAACTTTTTTTTTTTTTTTAATGACTATGCATTAC